CTTTACTTTCAGAATCACTTGAAGTATTTATTTTGATAAGTTCAGATTATGAATCTGTAACTTGAGTATCACTTTTCATAAAAGAGCTAGTGATTTTTTTAGTATCAATTACTATTTTAATGAATGAGCTAGTTAGTTTATATTTATTATAATAGGTCAATTTTATATTTTATTTATCTTATATAATCTTTACTTTATTTTTTTTAATTAATTATCATTTTTCTATATTAAATCAAATCCTTTTAATTTTTAATAGAATTTACTTTCATCTTCTCTATTTTTCAGATCATTCTATTTACTATAATCATCATTATCTCACTTCTCTTTACTTAAAAATGAAAAATCAATATATTAATTATTATCAAAAGAACTAAATGAATCAGTATTATAAGCTGCAATAACTGTGCTATCTATGTCATACTAATTATAATCATTTTTATTATAAATTTTTTTCCATAATTATTATTAAAGGCTGTGAATAAATTCTAATTATATTTATGAGTTTTTTTAGTATATTAACCATCTGCTATATGTAGTTGATCTTTTAATTTTCTTTTCTATTTAGAAAAAGATGTAATTTTTTTTAAAATAAAGACAAAATAAAATCAAAATATTTAAATGAATATTCTAAAGGTAAATTATATATGCAAATATATAATTAAAAAGTTTTACACATAAAAGTTTAACATAAAATATGAATGATAATTAATATGATTATGTGATAAAATTCTTACATTTTATTGGTTAAATAATAAATAAACCCTGTAAAATTCCCTGTAAAATCAGTCTGAATCTAACTAATTACTAATAATATATCTTATTTTTAACTCTGATATCTTTTTATATAATTAAGTTAATTAAAATATAAGTTAATTTTTTAAAAGAACATAACCTAAAATATATAAAAATCAGTTTAATTTTTTAATAATATTTAAATTGAAAAATTAGTTATATTTAGAATCTAAGCTAAATTTTAGATGCCTTTAAATATTATGCATTATATAATAGAAAAAATAAATTTTAAAGAAAGGATAGATCTTTTTATTTTTATTATTTTATTTATTATATTTATGTTTTTTGAATAATTTTAAAGAATTTTAAAAGGTAAATGAAATATATTTTATTATTTTATTCTTTTTGATAATATTATAATGACAAATATTTAGAATGATTTTAAAGGATTTGAAAGAAAATTGATATTTTTTTATTATATTATTATATTATTTTTTTTACTTATTTTTTAATAGGAAATTTAATTAGTTGGTTTTAATAATATTTTTATTATAATTTTAAAATTTATATTAGATTTTTAGTATTAATTTTTAATATTTAATAAATTTAATTAGATAAAAATGTACTGATATATGCTCATTTAACTAAATTAATATTAAATTGAGATTAATTTTAAACTGATTTATGATTATTTAAGTTCTGAATTAATACTAAATTAAGACTAATTTTAAGCTGATTTATGGTTGAATTTAAATTCTAAATTGATGTTAAATAATTATATCTAATTGAAGTTTATTAGTATTGATTAGTGTATATTTGTACTAATCAAAAAATATGATAATAGACTAGTTTATTTTTGATCATTCAGATTTTTAATCATAAAATCTATTAACTAATTTAAGTATGTGATTAAAATTATAATTAATTATACAGATCAGCTAGTTTAATTAATTATTAAAATTTTTTAATAAATTTTAAAATTTAAATAATTAATAATTTAACATTTTTTTAGTAATACACTTTCTAAACTAAATAATTAAGGATCATACAGGAGTGGTCATAAGTATTTGACTACTTGAGATCATCCAAAATTATTATATAACTACCTTTTAAATTTTCTAGAAATATAATATAATACAATACATGATCACTGCTAAATTTATAAGTATTAATGATACAAAAAAATTTAGATGATCATCAAACTTTTGCTTGAAAAATAGAGTTTTCTTCACAAAAATAATATGAAATTGTTTTTTTATATGAGCATCTAGCTGGTCTAAAGTTTAATTTTAGATTTATTGTTAAATAAATACGTTGTAGTAAATCTACAACTATTTATTAGGTTAAAAGATTTCATGAAAATTGGGACCTAAGTACTTTAGAAAGATCAGAATGATCTTATATAATAATTGTAAAATAAGATGATAAGATTGTAAAGATAGCAGAAAAAGAACATAATATAATAGCTATTTAAATATAAGAAAAAATGGAAGAAATAGATGTTAGATTTAGTATAAAAATAGTAAAATAATGTCTCGTAAGTCTGGAAGAAAGTTTAATAATGAAATTTCTAAACTTTTGCTTAAAGAAGACCATCGAGAGAAAGGTTGTAATAGGCAATAAAACATAAAAATTTTGATTGGAATCAAGTTATTTTTACAGATGAAAGTACATTTTAATTATATATATTAAAAAAAAAGGTTTGGCAGTTTTTTGATAGAAAAAAGTGTTTTATTCTATTAAGCATCCACCAAAAATTCATGTTTAGAGATGTTTTTTTGCTTCTAGATTTGGTAAGTTATTTTACTTTCAAAGAAATCTTAATACTGAATTTATGTATACTATTTATGAGCAGGATCTTCTGGCTTTCATCTCTAAACTTTTTGGTGAAGGTAATTGTATCTTATAAAAAGATAATGATTTAAAGCATCGATTAAAAATCACGAAAAAATAAAAGGAAGAAAATGGCATTGAAGTACATTCTTGACCATTAATGTCTCTAAACTAAAACTTTATAGAAAATATTTAGAAGTTAATGAAAATTAATATACAAAAAAGAATTTAATCAATTAGAGGGTTAAAGGGGGAACTTACAAAAGAATAAAATTAATTATACTTATACTTACAGGTAACTCTTGATATAGCGAACTCTTGATATAATAAATTTTTTAAACAAATATAATAAAAATACTCTTATTATAACGAATTGGCCAATCAAATCTCTTAAAATCTTCACTATAGCCTTATAGCGAAGTTGAGGTTTAGGACATAGAGTTTATTATAACAAGAGTTGACTGTACTGCAAATTTGATAGCTAGTATAAAAAGGTACAGCTGTATTTATAGAGTCAGATGGTGACTATATAATGTATTAATTTTAGTTAGTTAGTTATGTATTTTTTAAATAAAAAAAAAATTTGAATTTACTTACTTGTAATCAGAATTAGGAACGATCAGATATTTATGACTGCTACTATATTACTATTGAGAAATCTTTGAAAAAAAGCTGTTATTAAGGAAGAATATATTGCTATTGAGAAAGAAATTGCTATTGAAAAAGAAGCTGCTGTTAAGAAAATTACTATTAAAAAAGAAGCTACCCTTGTAAGAATTGTTACTTTTTAATAAGTACTGGTTTTGATAAATTAATGAAGTTGTAATTGAATGAATTTAATGTATTTTTTTTTGAACTTTAAATTCTAATTTATTAGGTTTAGTATGTTTAGTTAAAGTTTTTCATTAAGTTGTGAATTATTTATTTTTATTAAGTTTCTTTAAAAACACAATTTTTACGGGTAAAAATTTAATTAGTCATATAATATTAAAAAAATAATCAAAAAAATTTTACTTTTTTAATTTGAAAAGTTTAGATTATTGATCAGATCACACAATTTTATTAGCTAATAATTATTAACATAAAACCTAATCAAAATCCAAATGATTAGAAGTGAATTAGTCTAATAATATTAAAATCAACTTAAATTTAACTATTTGATTTTTAGCTGATTTAGACTATTTTGATCAGTATCATCTTTTCTTATTTTATCTACATTTTTTATTAAGGAATACTATATAAATAAAGTAGATCAATTGAAATAACATAAACTTCTGTTTGTATTTTACAGACCTGTTTTTGTGTTTCATATATCTAATAATACATCTATTAATTTGTCTTTTATATATATGTAAATTTACAATCACAATCTATCTTTTGTGATAACCATTATATATTTTCTTTGTATTCAAAATAAAATGAGTATAAATTATATTTTTTTATCATTTAATTTATTAGGTTTATATTATTTTAATGATAAAATTAAAGAATTGTGAAAATATTTAACATAAAAATGATTTCATTTTTTTTTGAAAAATTTTGTATATGAATAGTTATTATTTGATATAAATTTTTCTTTAAATCTAAATGATAATAATGATTTTTTCACAGCTTTTAAATTTTATTGCATAATATTTTTTCTAGCTATTAAAGTTTCATTAATAAATTTATCAATTATATTTGCAGGTATTTTATCATATACATCTCTGAGATATAATCCTAATCATATAACTGTTTGAAGAAATTTATATTCTTCCTATTAATCTCTATAATTTTTTGTCTTTCTTTTGTTAAGATCTTTTTCTTCTTTTAAATTTACATATAATTTAAGTTTTTCATCAAGTATTTTTTGAGTTCATTATACTACTTGTCTATTTTAATAAGGTTTTAAATTCTGATTATTTGAAGTTGATATCTGAGCTGATGTTACTGATAAGTATAGGTTGAGAATTGAAAGCTAAGAAGTTACTTTTGCTACTTAAGATCCTCTTTTTGCTTGATACTAGAGATCCAAACATAAAGGAATCTTTTTTAGTGAAGGTGGTAAAAGTGGTATTATCAGTATCTTGGAAAATCAACTTTGGAAAAATAAAAGATATGTTGTAAAAGTAAGAAGATGTTTTGACAGTAATTTTTTCTTGCTTTAGCCATCAATGCAAGGTATTTGATAATATTCCAAGTTTCTTAGTTACTTGATATGCAGATAAATATATGAGAGGAATGGTAGGTATAGTTGACGATTTTCGATTTTGAATCTTATATGATTTTCATTGATAAGCAATTACCAAAAATGCAAAGTATGCATTTTTTATTTTACGATTACTTAATAGATCGATTTGCCTAAAATAGGATCACGGCTAAATTATCACGTGATCTAATTTTAAAAATAAAATCAAAATCAAAAAATAAAAAATAAAAAATAAATATAAATCAAAATGCCGTTAGTTACAGCATCTCAACTTATCAAGTTACAGTCGAAAGAAGAAAATATAAGGAATATTTGTATTTTAGCACATGTCGATCATGGAAAAACTACTCTTTCAGACTCTTTATTAGCTTCCAATGGAATTATTTCTAATAGGCTTGCAGGTAAAGTAAGATATCTTGATAGTAGAGAGGATGAACAAGAAAGAGGAATAACGATGGAAGCTAGTGGAATATCACTATACTTCAACATCTTTAGAGATTTTGTGGAAGGTCAAGGTGGTTTTTGATCCATTTTCCTTTTCTTTGAGGTCACTGAAGTTTATAAATTTTATATTAATTTTCTTTATTTTATTCGTATAAATCAAAGAAAATAACACAAACTCTGATGAATATCTGATAAATCTTATTGATGCTCCTGGACACGTTGATTTTACCAGTGAAGTCTCGACAGCATCGAGACTATGTGATGGTGCATTAATTCTTGTCGATGCTGTTGAAGGAGTCTGTACACAGGTGTGATATCGGATTAACAAAATTAGATGTTTAATAGTAGTCTTTTTTTTATCAAGTTTATTAGAATTTGTAAATATTATAATAAATAAAATTTAAAAATAACGAAATTATATCAATACTTTTTTTTTTAAAAAAAAAAAAATTGTTGAAAAAAGACACATGCGGTTCTCCGACAAGCATGGATCGAAAATGTTCGACCTATTTTAGTATTAAATAAAATTGACCGACTTATAACTGAATTGAGATTAACACCTCTTGAAGCATATGTTCATTTAAATAAAATTCTGGAACAAGTGAATGCTGTCATGGGAACTTTTTTTGCTGGTGATATGATGGAAGAAGAAACTAGAAGGCATGAAGCTGAAATGGTGCGGTTTAATTTTTATATATTATTGCATATATCAAATAAGTTGAATAAATATCTAACTTCTTTGATATCCTAATAGGAAAGACTTTCGCGAGAAGGAAGTGAACAATCAGTGGAACCATATAATACATTAGAATTGTCATTGGAAGATCGTGATGATTCGAACATTTATTTTACTCCAGATTCGGGAAACGTTGTTTTTGCAAGTGCAATTGATGGTTGGGCGTTTAGGTATGTTATCATCTCCGAATTTAATTATTCATTATGTCAAATCCTCCCCTCCAAATCAAAATCATTTGTTTACAGTGATAATCCGATCTGGGTGATAGAGTCGAACAATTCGCTCAATTATATGCCGCAAAGTTGGGCATGAAAGAAAATAAACTACGTAAAGTACTTTGGGGCGATTATTATCTTGAACCAAAAACGAAACGATTATTGCAATATAAACATTTGAAAGGTCGTCAATTGAAACCATTATTCGTTCAATTTGTTTTGGAGAATATTTGGGCAGTTTATGATTCTGTTGTTATTAATAAGTAAGTCATTATATTGTAATATCTGGGACGTTGCCAGTAAAGTCAAGTAATGAATCAGATGTAGTGATTTAACTGGCAACTCTTCCACAATTTTCAAAAAATATATATTTTTTTTTATTTATCGTTATTGTTTACGTATAATAATCAAAATTCTGAACATGTTTATTTAGCAATCGAGAAAAGATTGAAAAGATAGTTAAGACACTTAATTTGAAAATTTTACCACGAGATATGAGATCGAAGGATACACGTGCTTTGTTAATATCAATGTTCAATCAATGGTTACCATTGTCGAAAGCTATTTTGCATATCCTTTACTTTTTGCATTAAATCTAGTACAACAACAGGTTATATGTTCCGGACTAAAAATCTTTAACTTATCACACTAACCGTCATAGAACAGCTTCCAAATCCCGTATCCGCGCAACATGTGCGTCTACGAAGAATGCTATATCCTAATACAGAAATGGCGGAAAAACCTGCGAATGAAATTGAGAAAGCTTTGTATAGTTGCGATTCTAGCGATTCTGCACCTATTATTGCCTATGTTTCAAAAATGTTTGCTGTTCCTTCAGATATGCTACCAGAGAATAAGAGAAAACAATTAACAGCAGAAGAACTGAGGGAAAAAGGAAGGGTTCAAAGAGAAGCTCGTTTACGTGCTTCAAATGATCAATCCGAAGAAACAATTTCTGAAACATCAACGATTTCATCCTTAAATCAAACAAATTTGGTATCGACAGAAGCCATTGAAGAATCTGTTAAAATGAAAAATTCCTTTTTATTGGACGAAAATGGTGAAGTTGCTCAACCAACACCCGCAAAAGAAACTTTTATAGGTTTTGCTCGTCTTTATTCTGGAACTATCCGAATTGGTCAAAAATTATTTGTTTTAGGACCAAAATATAATCCTGATTTTCCAGATAGATTTTGTTCTGAAGTTACAATTCAGAGTCTTTATCTAGTGATGGGGCGAGAGTTGGAAGCTTTACAGAAAGTACCAGCTGGTAATGTTTTTGGTATTGGTGGACTTGAAGGTCATATCTTGAAGAATGGTACTTTAAGTAGTACTAATAAATGCAAAAATCTTGCTGGCGTTGCGATGGGGGTTAGTGCACATTAATATAATGAAGGAATTCCATTGGATTGAATATTGTAATTTCTTATCTTTTTTTTTTTTTAGTCTTCACCAATTGTTCGAGTTGCCCTTGAGCCTTTGGAACCATGTATATATTTCTTTAAATTTCTAAGTAGTATTTTTCTTCGTATATTTGAATTATTGAATTATTAAATACAACTTATCTTTTTTATAGCCGAAATAGGAAAGCTAACTGAAGGACTTCGCTTGTTAAATCAAGCAGATCCATGTGTTGAAGTTCTTGTACAGGAAACAGGTGAACAAGTAATTTTAACGGCCGGTGAAGTACACCTTGAGGTTTGTTTTCAGTAAACTTGAATATTTATGTTCTTTTATGTATTTATGATAAGGTAATTAATTACTTGCAATTTCAATTTAAAATTTTTGAAGCGTTGTTTACGAGATTTAAGAGAACGTTTTGCAAAAATCGAAATTCAAGTTTCTTCTCCTATAGTTCCGTTTAGAGAAACAATAGTTCCTATTTCAGGTATTATTTGGTATTTAGCTTAATTTTTAAGTGGATAATTAATTTAATAATTGATATATATAAATAGATATTCATTCGAACAAAGAGGAATGGTAGGTATAGTTGACGATTTTCGATTTTGAATCTTATATGATTTTCATTGATAAGCAATTACCAAAAA